AGGAGGGGGGGTGCGGAGGAGGCTGAGACCCTGAGGAGCGCGACACATGGCCGCCTGCGCGCGCTGACTGCGGCTGCGGGGGAACGGGAGGCTGGATCTGGGATGCGGAGGGAGGCTGTCCGGAGGCTGACCAGCACCGACCCGGACTGACCAGCACCGACCCGGACTGACCAGCAGTGAGGAGCAGGGCTGAGCCGGGCTCTCCGGACCATCCGGCCGTGTTTGGTGAGCTCATCCCGGCCCCACCGGACATACCTGCCTGTGGGTGAGCCACAGCCTGTGCATATGGGTGTTAAATAGAAAAAAAAATGAAAATGCTAACAGTTTTCACACTCATGTTTTCCACATGTAGGTTTCCTGCACATAAAGCTCATTTTCGTAAAATTCCTTCACATTTGGCTCATTTCCCACACATTTTAGACATTTAGAAGCATGGTTATATATGAATGAAAATGAAATGTTACATCTAAATGTAAATGTTAAATCCAAATGTAAATATTACATCTAAAGGTAAATGTTAAATCTAAATCTAAGTTTTCAATGTTAAATTTAAAAGTAAATGAGTTTGCATTTGATGTAATACGATATAATGTAATATAATATGAGTGTGAAAACCCTTTTTAGTTTTTTTAACCCCATATGTAAAGCAAACATGTGTTATCTTCATCCTCTGAAGAGCATTCATTTGCTAGATTGTTCAGATTTAAGCCTCACATTTCATTCCACTGCTAAATAAAAACAGGGACGGAAATGTAACATTTCCCTTTTTCAATGTGCATTTTTATTCTGCAACAGCCAATTCCTATTAAAAGCACATCTTTAATTATGGTGGCATTCAGTCACTTAGCTTTTTTTTATTATTGTTTTTCAAAGTTAACACCTATTTTATCATTAATCTCAAGGTTTTTATAGCAGTTTTAACACCACTTTATACTGGGAAAGGGGTCATTGTAGAGTGAAGCTCTTCATCAAGTAATAATTAAAAACAACAAAACGTCCCTGTTTTTAGCATGGACTGGCCTTGTTTCCACTCAAGTATAGAGACAGCCATGAATAACTGGACCTTTTTCTACATTCTAATAGTGTGTAATATCCATTTTAGAGTTAGAAAGTCCTTCTCACTTTGCTTGGCTTCAGTGAAAGGTCACAGATAAAATATATCTCAAATGCTTTTCCTTTGTTTTCCTAAATTGTCCCCACAGCGAGCGGAGGGCTTTTTGTCCCCGCGGAGCTGCCGTAGCTATGGGAGACAACATGTCAAAGCGACTGAAGCTGATTTCAACTACGGAGGCTGAGATGGAGGAGCGCTCTTTTCAAAACCCCTACCCGGACTGGGACCACGGAGTCCTCACCGCCAACGCCGGAGCGGATGCGGACGTCCGGGAACCGTTAGACGCCGACGGAAAGGTGGGAGTTCCGGCCCGGTTCGGTCTTTGTTGCCCCGGTTGTTGGCGGGCTAACGGAAACTCTAACTAGCTTAAATGGCTTTCAGGAGCCTTTAGAAAACAGGAGAAACAGAAGCCCGTAGCTGCTGTAAACGTCGCGGGGGGGTGGTGTCCGGGCCCCCACCGGCTGTGGCTGGTGGTGGTTAAAGGCCAGATGTATTGGTCAGTTGTTTTGGGGCGCCTCGGACATCATTGTGAGATGATGGAGTTGGTCAGTGGCTGCTGGTCACTGGTTGGCTAGTTTGGGTTAGGGTTAGGGTTTGGTTTGGGTAAGGGTTAGGATTTGTGTTAGGGTTGGGGTTTGGTTAGGGTTTGGGTTAAGGTCAGGGTTAGGGTCAGGGTTTGGTTAGGGTCAGGGTTAGAGTTAGGGTTTGGGTTAGGGT